TGTGGGGTCTCAGTGCTGCACCCTGAAACCCGAGAGCCCGGCCTGGTCCTTAACCTCCAAGGAGGCCACTCTGCCTTCCACTGGACCGTGAGTTGGATTCAACTTGTCACTAGCTGGCAACCTTGCCCTGGCGGTGCAAAGCTGGCATTTCGAACCCTCCTAAGGGCTGTGCAGGAGGGAGACTAGTGATGTGCTCCCCTCCCGAAGACCCTGTGGGACAGTTGCGCTCTGACGACACCTGGAGTTGAGCTCAAGCCAACAGCCCCTGGCAACAATGTAGCCCTGCCTTAGAGGCTACAGTGAGAAGGCTCGGAGGAGCGTGCCACCAGGACCTGCCCATGGAAGGAGCACGCCTGAGAAACAGGCCCCCTCACAGCTGTCCATCCTTACCTGTGGCTGCATCCTGTCCTGATCCCCCTCCCACTCTCCCCAGTCCCACCCTCCCCGCCCCACCTGGGCGGCCTGAGCTTTGGCACCCATCTCCTCCTCGGTGTTCTGCAATCGTAGCTCTTCCCCTGGTTTTCTACTTCGCTCCTTAGAGACTCAGCTTCCTTGTCAGTAAAATGGGCATCATTAATGCTCTCTACCTACTTCCCAGAGTGGCCACGAGATCACCCCAGAGCAGCGGTTCTCAACCTGTGGGTCCCTTTGGGGGTTCCCCGAGTCATCACAGTAGCAAAATTACAGTGATGAAGTAGCAATGAAGATAATGTTATGGTTGGGGGTCACGAGGAAGGTGGAGAACCACTGCGCTAGAGGAATCCTAAGGCCTTTGGCTAACTGCGGCGGGCTGTGAAATGTCACCTGTCAGCACTCATCGACTGGTTAGTCCTCGGCTGCAGGCTTTCTGTGTGTGGTCTGGTGGCTCCCCACCCTGTGAGGGTGAATGTATGAGAGTAGAAAGCCCACCCTTTCTCCCAGGGACCAGGGTGCACGTAAATGCTGGGTTTTGTTTCCGTGTTTGGCGTTTGGAGGTTTCTGTGCATTTGATGATGTAGTCCGGCTCTTAAAGGATCCCTTTGGCTTGAGCTACTCTGCGCCTCAGACCATGCAGGATCCAGATCCGTAAAACCCCTCTGTAAGTGTCACGAGTCCTCCCCTCGCCGCTCAGTTGTCAATGCAGCTGCCACGCGTATGCTCACCTTGACACCTGTCCCCGTCTCTCCTGCAGAGCCGAGACTGCGTGAAGCTGGGGCCCCCGGCCGAGGGAGAAGTCATCCAAGTCAAGTGGCCCGATGGCAAACTCTACGGGGCCAAGTATCTGGGCTCGAACGTCGCCCACATGTACCAGGTGGGTGCCGCACTTGCTGGGACACGTGCTGAGTGTCACTGAGAGACCACAGAGCAGATGGTGTGGCAGGGTGGCTGCTTGCAGGGTGCCCTGGGCTGGGACCTCTCTTACCTTGTAGGCGCCCCGGGGTAGTTCAAACGCTTAAGCCACAGCTATCCCGGGAGGGCAGGCAGTACAGTCCCACCCAGGGACACTCGGCAGGAAGAACTGGGACCTGCTTCTGAAAGGTCCTAGCTGAGGAAGCCCCATGACGCAGGGCTCTCCACACATAAGAGGGCGGCACACAGTAGTGTGGATTGGGCTGCGACTGGTTTGTTGGCTTCAGCCTCCACGTCTGAAGGCCCCGTTTGAAGGGCTGGTGCTTTATTGCCCAGTTAGATCCCGGGAAACACTAATGACATCAGCCAGCTGGTTGTATTGATTCTGCAAGACAGTGTGCCGCTGCATGGCTGGGCCTTGTTTCCAGTGACGGCGGGGAGAGACTGCGTGGTTGGTTCAGCTCACCGAAGCTCTTCATCAGCCCACGGTCCACCCTGAATTGCTCGAGCCCGACAGACACAGGCCCATTGGAGCTTCTGGGCAAATCCGAACCCTGGGCCCATTGGTACCATCAGTGTCATGGGGAGCTGTGCTGTCCTCCCTGAAGGAGCTCTGACTTTGAGAAACAGGACGCACTCTCACCCTTAGACATGACCCTCGCTGGGCATCTCCCCAGGTTATCAGAGTGTGTGTCCAGGTGAAAGAGGAAACCATTTTCAGAAATGCGTTCAGCTCTAAGATAGGGAGCAGCGCGGACCACATGTGCGCCTGTCTGTCCCTTAAAACAGGGACCACCCCCCCTGTTAGCACCAACGCACTGCAGTATTTGCAGGCAGCCCGAGGGAGAAATCGGCATTCTCGGGCTAAGTTGCTGAAGTGAAACAGAAAGATAGAAGTCAAAGGAGGGAAAACAAGAAAGCCCAGGCCGGGAAGCTGAAGAATGGCTTCCGAACGATAAGGCCTCCGGCCGCAGCAGAGATTGTTGGAAGACTGATCAGGGGCGAGGCCCTAAACTGAAGAGTGCTTTATAAGACATGTCCCAAGGAGCTGCATGGGGCACAGTGTCAGCGCCATTAAAGATGTTCAAAGAAGTTTGGAAAACTGGAGGGAGAGCTTTTCTCTTGGCCTGGAAAACCTCAAAGGGATTGGGGGGCCAGAGGATGTGTGCTCAGACGTGTGTATGCAGGTGTGTATATATGGGTTTTGTGTGTGTGTGTGTGTGTGTGTGTGTGTGTCAGGCTCTGTATAATGGGCTGGTTGCTAGTGCTCTTGCAGCAAAATGCTCAGAATCAGGCAGAAAATCACGAGACAGGCCAAGAATACCAGCATCTCATGGAAAAGGGTGCGTTACAACATTATTCAAAGGAAAATAATCACACTTAATTAAACAATAAGTGCAAAGCGCTTCTCTCAGCAAAGCGCTCTGCTACGTGAGGCACGTACCACAATGAGGACATGTTGCAGTTCAGATTAATTAGTAATCAGTATGTTAGCTTCTGTTGAATTTTTGATGGCCTAGCAACATAGCACTATGGGCATATTTATAGACTCCCTTGGGGGGTGGCAATCAAGACAAATATTTAAAATGTCTCTCAAGCACAAGTCATTTAAAATTTCACATTAAGCCAGGCAGCCTTTTGAGCTAATTTTTGCATTTTCTGCCTAATTATTCAGCCTCACCATTGAAGATATAAAGATGTTTATGAAAATAGAGGTAACTTATGTTACCAAGGGGGCGGGGTAGCCTCCAAAAATTCATGGAAAAGTGAAAAGAAAAGCTAATGGCTGCTCTCCACGAACTTTCTGAAGCCCCCACATGTAGCCGCACTACCTATGCTAAATAGTTGTCGGGGACCTCACACCCGCCCAGCCCTGGGGCCAGCAAGTTGATGTTGACTGCAAGTGACCGATCCTGGGGGACAGAATAGAACTGCCTGGCAGGGCTTCCAAGGCCGGACGTCTTCATGCAAGCAGACAGCCTCATTTTTCCCCTGTGGGGCACCTCGTGGGTTCAAACCGCCGACCTCTGGATTTGCAGCCACGTGCTTAACTGCTGCACCTCCAGAGAGTGCTTTGACCTTCAGGGATAGGTGTTTGATGCCCATTTTACGAGAGAGAGAACCAAAGCTCCAAGAGGTTTCAATGCTTTACTCCAGACATGCAGCCAGCACGGAGAAGAGCCCGAGATTACTCTCCGCACAGATGCGTGTTCAGCCTGGGCCCTCTCCAATGTGACCCTGAAGGTGTCCAGCATCTCCGGGAACCGCTCAGACCACCCGGTCCTTTTGTCTCTGACTTGCCTTTGTGGCTTTCTGAACTCGCAGATGATGTCAAACCGAAGAAAGGCTTGCACACGTAGGAGTTCTGAGTGTGCTGCCATTGGTGTAAGGAACAGATAGACACCTTGGTCTAGGCCAGGACCCAAGAAGCCATTCTACTAGCACAGGGCCAAGAAGAAAACCTTCCCCACCACGTCCTGGGACCCAATAGTGGGAGAGAGCCCCGTGGCCGGGACCACGCATCACTTCGGCCTAGCCCAACATTAGTGTGAGCCTTTAGTTATAGACCTTATCTTTGCTTTAGTACCTTCCTCATTCCCCAGCAGATTTTTATAATAATAATGACTATGAATGCCACACAGCTGCTGCACAGCTGAATCCTGTAGATGAGACATGCTGGCGTGCATTCTCAGTGGTGGAGCATCCAGAGTCAGACACTCCAGAGAAGTCCCCCATGGTTCATCATCAAAGCCCACTGGGCAGGCCCTTCTGCTCGCCCACCCAGTACCATCTCCTCAGAGGTTCCCTGTGAGAACGCACCATCACTGGATTCGAGCTCCTCGCTTATATCACCCATTTGTTTCTGCCCGAAGCTCTATTAGCCAGTTGCCTCTGGTCTTAAAATGATCTTCTGCCCTTGGGTTCGAGTTCTCCCTTTCACGGCCGGCCATCTGCCCTCTCAGCTCCATGCGGCTCACATGGTGGAGAATGAGGAACGGGGGCTTTTCCTGGGTCTTAGATCCAATTGGATAAAAGTGAGCTTTCAAAGCTGATGTTGTTGGGACTTGGAGCCACTCTCACTGGGCCAATTACCCTACCTTGTAAATTCGAGCATCTTCTTGTTCCCAGCATGAGAGACCCCTTCCTGTTAAATTGCCAGAGCCTCTTAAAAAGGGATGGCAGGACAGGTCCTGCCCCCCTTAATGAGACAGTTGCATTATTCCAAATTCCGAGAAACTGTTTGCTTGGCACTTACTTTTCTTTGCCCTTGGGCTGGGGGACACATTTTCAGTCCACAGATTCCAAAGCACTTATTTTCAGAAGTGTGGCCCGGTTTGAAAAGGTGCTGCGCCTTGGTCTGATGGGGGCAGGGCTTATCTTTATGTCCTTGGCTGCGTTCCTTGTTTCTTTCTTTTTTTTTCTGGGCAGCTGATTTCATAAAGTTAAACTCTCGGCCATCAAGCTGGTTCCAGGGCTGAGTGACCCCCGGGGCAGAGGAGAGCTGCCCCCGTGGGTCGAGACTGTTACTCTTCTCAAGAGTAGAAAGCCTCGTCTTTCTCCCACGGAGCAGCTGGTGGCTTCAAGCTGCTGACCTTGCAGCTAGCAGCCCAACCTGTAACCCCTCGACCACCAGGGCACCTCTGGCCACCGACTGGAATCCTTGAAAGTTGGCCAGGGCTTGATTTTCCCTCTTACATTCCCATGGTGACGTCTGCCTTTCCGCCAGGTTGAATTTGAAGATGCGTCCCAGATAGTGATGAAGAGAGAGGAAATGTACACCTTGGACGAAGAGCTGCCCAAGAGAGTCAAGGCTCGGCTAGTAAGTGCAGGCACACCCCCTCTGGGGCCCTCCTGACCCCCTCCCCTTCCCTGGGCTTCCCCAGCCCCGCAAACTCAAACCTGCAGAACACAACCCTTAAAATTAGGCAGGAAACTACCTGCCCTGTTCTTCTCATGTAGCCCAATGATACTTCTCCGTGTGATCTCTGTTGGCAGACAGACACGTGTGCCTTGCGGAGCAGGGTGAGAGGGCAACTCCTTGGGGCTGCCTCGGATCCATGGCTAAGGGCTGCATTTCCCCTCTGAGGGTTTACGCCTCCGGCTTCTGAAGGTGTTACTGGACCATCCAGGCCTCTCCCACTCCTGACCATGAGAAGACAAGTAAACATGCACTGATACTCAAAACTGAGAGTGTTAAAGAATTTGGAGCGACACTGGGTTTATGTGATTGTATCATAACATAGTTGG